CACACCTCTCTCTAAAAAAAACCCTACCAAAAAAAAAAAAAAAAAAAAAAAAAAAAAAAAAAAGGGGGAGTTATTTGAAGTCAGCTTCAAGAAGTTAGTTGGTACTTTATTGAAAGTGTGATGTTACACATCATGTCCAGCAGCTATCCTATCTGCCATTTGACAGATGTGTATTCTCTTGGAATGAAAAGCCAAAGGGGATAATTTGCATTAGTACTTTGTGATAGATTTGATAAAAATAGTGTGAATTTTTCAGTGTCAGTAAACCCTCTGGGGTCCCCCATCAACATCCTGTATTTTCAACTGTACCTCACTTTATGAACTGGTTTTGTGTTAGTACTCCAAACCCAAAAACTAAGGAAGCCATAGCCTGTTGGGATTTGGCACCATACTTGCCACGATCCAATCTTACTCCACTTACCTCTCAAACTCCACAAATTCTAGAGAAAGAAACAGGCAAGTTCTGTCCTGTGAAGGTTATTTCTAACACAACAGGAAACACAGCAGTAGTAATGAATCTTCTTTTATATAGTTTGTTGCCTAAAACCATCAAAGGTATAATACAAATTTTTCTTAAAACAGATCTGTAACCAGTTTTATTGTAGAAATAACACCTTTACAGCATTTACTTCTCACTGGTTTGTTCTGGCATGCTTCTGATGATGTCCGAGTCACCTGTAAAACAATAATACATTGTTACAAGAGGACCCACGGAAAGATCTGTTTTCAGGAATAAGCGAAAAAGTTAAAAACACATCATGCTGATTCTACAAACAGGAAACAAATTAAAAACAACACAAAGACAGTCTGTTTAGAAAAAAAGCAAGAAATTTTCATGGCTTGATAAAAAATATTTTTAGCTATATTTCACTAATCCATACACAGCATTTTATGCTAATTATGTACCTGTCACTAGCATTTACAAAGCCAGTACTAGAGCAACAATCTAGTCCTGGAGGACACAATGCATAGTTTTAATATAGCGAATGTCTAGCCTCCCCTGATCACGAAAATATCAGGACAGCGAGAATATTCGCATTGCATTACACGGCAGTAAGATTTACTTGCAGTTCCTTAGCTTACAGTTAGCCACCCATGCCCTCCCCCTGCCCAAAATCAAACCTAACAGTAACATTTTGAAAATTTTAAGTTTACAGCTAGTATTTGAACACAAGCAAGCTAAACAAAGTTTTCTGAAGAAACAGCAAATTCAAACCAATGTCGCTTGGGGAATATTCGGTGAAGGTTATTACAGAAATCATTAAATCCACGTGTAGGCATTTTGGTCAACAAATGGAACAAAAGACTGATTCTTCTCTTAGATTTTGGGAAGAGGATGAGAAGTCGCCTAATTAGCAGTCTATATTAGGAACTTGAGCAACTCTCGGGGACAAAGAGTGCTACCAAACCATAGTAATTACACACAGATTTACAGTTTTAAAATGTTTAGTATAATTTTCAACCCTGGATTACTAGCCACCTGCATATATGTTATTTTTGTACCTATCATTCTGGGAAGCAGGACAATTCCTTTGTCTTAGATTAAGAACAGTCAAACAAGGTGGATGCATGCAGCATGTTGCACCAGCTTGTATTCCAGCTGATGAGCTCAGAAACATGTACCAGGAAGTTTCCTCCCAGCCACTGAAACCTCACTACAGACTGACAGGCAGACAAAACGCTCGCTCACAGGGTTTAGCAGCAACAGGAGCTACACGCAAAGGTAAGCAGCAGTGATTCCAGATTCTAAGAACCTAGGACCCACAAAAGAAGACCAGGATCTTGGTCAGGGGAAATTCTAATTAAGAGTTAAACCTGACAGAAAAGGACACGCAGAGTATGTCATCACCCCTGCACGCTAGCCTGCTCAGTGCTGCTGCTCACAGGTGGACGGAGGAACCACCGATACACACCCACTTGGTCCCGATCCCGAGAGACACATACCTGGGTCAATGATAGCCAGTGTGCACACTCTGTAGTATTTTCCACACGCTGTGCCCAACTCAATGTTGTTGCCACTATAATGATGGACACCGGTCTTGGCAAGCATAGCGTAGTACTCGATCTCCGATTTTCTGAAATTGGAAAAAAACTAGGTGTTACAGTACTGACAAACAGCTCTGACTGTAACGCAATGAGAACAGCTTGAATGCCAGTCACACTTAAACCCTACACTCTTCCTTCCTACCCGGAAAAACACAACTGCTCCTTGCCAGCCAACATCACTACTGCGTTGTAGCTCAGGAACAGAGCAGAAGTACGCTGAAGGCATGTAACAGCAAACCCACTTTTGGGGTGCAAATCCTTGAGGTTGCTCCATCACATGCTCATTTCTATAGGAAAGAAGGGGACTCGGGACTTTCAGACTTCTAAATGGTTGTAGGAGCTAAGCCAAAGCACGTAAACGATGACCCTTTTTAATGCTGATACCCAGGGGCCAGATGCTGAACAGAGACCTGACTACTGTGTGTTTTTTCTTAAAAAAACAGAAAAGAGTCAATCTATACTCCCTTCTCTTCTGGCTTCCACACCAGGAGATTCTAGTGGCCCATATTGTTCCTCAAGCACTTTTGGGATCCCCACTAACATGCTGCCTACTGTAACAGTCCTGCCATTTCTCAAGCATCTAATTTTGGGTTTCTGCATTTACAGCTTCCTGAATCTGTCAATAGCCCCTGAAGCCAAAAAGGGGCCAGGAATTCAACAAGGAAAACGTCAGGAAGTTAGTAAAGATTTCATTCTCAAAAAAGAAGTTTCACTGGCCAGGAACCTAAATTTATAACTTGGGACAGCAAATTGTGTGTGCTTCAGATATTTTAAAGCACTGTCAATTACTAGTTTTCCTACCTGTAAAATTATTTTCCAATACACTACTTTGAAAAAACACAAGAATTCAGACCCATTATACATTTAATGAATGCTATCTCAGTGTGAAAAAACTTACAGTTATCTTCACCAGTGCGAACTCTTTGAATTAGAAAGGTAGGAAAACGCTGGAAAGCATTTCAACAATTCCAGGCCCAGAATCATTATACACCAAACCACCCATCATTTTTATTGCATAGCACTCTGGAATACGCCAAAGTATTCTGCATTAATAATGCACTGCAGCAAGTAACATGAAATACACGCTGTGTTTGGACAAAGAATCTGTCTTAGTTCTGAAGAGAACTAGTTTTTCATACACCTACTTACCTCAAAGCAGGACAGTTGTTGGCTAGAATGACCAACTTGGCTTTGCCCTGCCGAATCATTTTCAGAGTCTGTTTGTATCCTAGCACATATTTACCACTTTTCATAACCAGCTGAAGCCTGGAGTTTATGGACTCTAGGGACTTTTTCTGAAAAAGATGTAGAAAAGCATTATTGTATGTTACTTTACATTTTGAAAAATGGCAGAGAACATCAAGAAATGACAGAATTCCAACTACCATCAGTCTTTTAATAATTTCCCTCTAATTTGCAATGCGGAAGAAAAAAGCCAGCCTACCACATGAATATGAGAAAGCATGCGGGTAAGGGGGTTGCTGATACTATGTTTTCCCAACTTCATAAAAATATCTCCTGCCCATGGATCTTACCATAGGAAAATACATCTTAAAGCACTGTTGCTGCTACCTATGTTAATTAGTAATGCCCGGGTGTATTCAACAGGCCTTTACCAAAGCGCAGCTAGCCAACTCCAAGTAAGCACTACTTCTGCCCTGCAAATCTAAGCCAGGGCACACACTAACAGCGTTAGACCGGCCAGCTGAAACAAGCAACCACACACCACATGAGCTGACAGTCCAAGGGCAGCGCGGTGCTCGTCACAACAGGTAAGTGCATTTGCACGGACGAACACCACCGTCTAACACGAAACCCACATTTGCCCGAGTCGCTGGAAGAGAAAGGCAAGAACATGGCAGGAAAAGCAAAAGCTGAGCTCCGCCCGCACTAGGAACTCGGCGCCAGCTCCCCCATCCTCCAGCTGGGCAGGGGCCCGGTAAGCAGCCCGGAGAGTGCACG